GCACTGGGCAAATTGGCTGCAAAGGACCTCTTTCAAGTGCTGAAGAGCAAAGATGTCTCCTTGAGGACTAAGGTGCACCTGACACAAGACGTGGTATTTTCAATTGCCTCATATGCATGTGAGAGCTGGGCATTGAATAAGGAAGACTGAAGAAGAGTGGATGCTTTTGAGTTGTGGTTCTGGTGAAGAATGCTGAAAGTACCATGGACTGCTAAAAGAACTAACAGATCTGTCCTGGAAGAAGTGCAGCCAGAATGCTCTTTGGAAGCAAGAATGGCCAGACTTTATCTCACCTACTTTGGTCACCTACTTTTGTCAGAAGGGCCCATTCCCTGGAGAAGGATGTTATGATTGGTGTAGGGTGGAGGGTCGACGAAAGAGGGGAAGGCCCTCAACGAGATGGATTGACACAGTGGCTGCAATGATGGGCTCAAGTATAGCAAGGATCATGGAGCTGGTGTGGGACCGGTGGTGTTTCACTCTGCTGTGCATGGCATCGCTAGGAGATGGAGATGACTCGATGGTGCCTGACAACAACAACATACTCAAGGTCATACTTTGGCTCTTGTGGACCTGTTTTAATTTTCTTCTGCTTCAACTTGAACTTGCATATGAGTAATTGATGGTCTGTTCTACTGTGAGCACTTGGCCTTGTTCTGATGGTATTGAGCTTCTTCTTTTTCTCTTTCCACAGATGTTGTCAATTTGATTCCTTATATTTTATCTGGCAAAGTTCATGTGTGTATCTGCCATTTATGTTGTAGAAAAAAGGTATTAGTAATGAATAAATCATTTGTCTTGCAAAATTCTATTATGTCATCTCTAGTGTCATTTTTGTCTTGTTGTTAGATGCCTTCGAGTTGGTTCTGATTCAATAGCAACCCCATCTACAACAGAACAAAACACTGCCCGGTCCTGTACCGTCCTCATAATCATTGCTATGTTTGAACCCATCGTTCCAGCCACTGTGTTTTTATCATGGTTAGGGTCAATATGGACATTATGACCTTTGTGGGCCCCGGGCACTTTTGTCTTCATGGCAGGACCCCTGCACAGCACTAGTGGAGCTCCTGCCGAGCCAGCAGGTACCTGCATCCGGGTGAGCCTTGCTCCAGTCAGGGTGGTAAGTATTCCCTGGAGAGGAGGGCTGGGGGCTGGAAGCTCTGAACAGGATGAAATTAGTCCTGGGCTATGAATTGAGAAAGAACTCCTTCCCTACAGATTCCATGTCCAAAGTGGATCAAGAGGTTTGAGGGTATGAGGATATCAGAGCCCCTACCCCCTGTACTGTGTGCTTGCCTAGGTGTGAGGAGGGTCCTCCCAGGACCTGGGACTCAAAGTCTTTGAGTTGCACAGGGCCAGAATGTGGTGGAAAAATAACCACAGGTGCCTTGGCAGCAGTAGTCAAGTGGCACTGGGAGCAGGGAGGCTGGGCTGAGGCTGGGGATGGGCCTCAGGAGAAACAAAGCCAAGGCTGTGGGTGGGGCGGGAGTGTGAGAAACAGGGCAGGTGCCACTGAGTGGGGCCCCAATTTTTTGGCCACTGGGCAGAACTCTCTGGTGGCAGCTGTTGTGCTTCAGGTGAGGCCCACCAAGGGGGCCAGGCTGCGGGGTTGTGGCAGGGATTCTTCTCAAAACCAGGTGGACATCACGGGGATGGGAAGAAGGCATTCTGTGACAAGAGCGTTCAGTGTGTGGAGAGGGGCACTGGGTGGGACCCAAGGCTGTGAGGGGTTAAAAGTTCAATGGATCTGAGAGTTCAGTGGGAGGTAGAGAGTTCAGAGAGGGCTTGAGGGTTCAGTGAGGAATTAAAGGCTCACTGAGGGGTTGGGGGCTAAGCAAGGAGCTGGGGATGCAATGAGGGGCTGAGGTTTTTTATGAGGATGATCAGGATTTGGTGAGGGGCAGGTGGCTCAGTGAGGGTTTTGGAACAATCTCCCCTTTTCACTCTTGGTCCTTGAATCACTGTGAGCCTCCTTCATTCTCCCCTTACCCTCCCTCTGTCTGGGCTAGGGGCTGGGGGCTGAGGGGTAGGGCCTCCTATTGGCTGAGGCCTGTTGATGGACAGCTCTGATGAGTCGTTTTTTTCACCAAAGGGCAGCTGGACGTCTCTCACATTCCAAGGGTTTGAAGCCCACATCTGTCGCCAGGCCAGCTGGGGGCGAGCACTGAAGCTTGAATTTAAACTCTTCCCGTTTAGGATGGTCTCTCCCTCGGTTGTGAGACCCTTTAGCTAGGGATCGAGAGATTCTCATGTTGCTTTTTCCTTGGGGAAGGGGTGAGAGGCAGTGCTTAACCCAAAGTCCTGTGTTAATGATGTTGGCATCTCAGCACTGGGTGGTGTTTCCCAAAACCCCAGGAAATACCTTTCAAGCACGTTGTCCTGAAGGAAGGGACGGCGAGGAGTAAAGGGGCATCCTGGCTGCTGTAGTACCGCCCATCCCCACTCGGGGGCAACGATGCCCAGTCTAATTCCTAACTCCTGCTCCCAACCTCCCCTCAGTTTGCACCTGGCAGAAGGGTGTACTCCACTTGGAGCCAGAGCTGGGAAGACCCTGACACCCTAGCCTCACCCCGCTTGGAGCAAATGGGGAGACTGAGGCCAAGGGGGTGCATGATCTGTCCAAAGCTACATGGAGCTGCCGCTGCCCCGGCGTGTTTCCCCAGCCTGCTCAAGATGGCTTGAGGGTCTCTGGGGTTGGGTGTGTTGAGGTGTGTTTACTGGGCATGGTTGGGGTGTCTGTGTGTGGGATGGTTGGGGGTGTCCGTGTGTGGGAGATGGGTGGGGTCTCTGTGTGGGATAATTGGATGTTTCTGTATGTGGAACACTTGAGTCATCTGCATGTGTGTATCTGTGGGGTGTGTGTGTGTGGTGGGGGGTATCTGTGTGTATTGAGATGCTTGGGGTGTCTGTGTGTGCCAGAGAGGATGCTTGGGGGTGTCATCCGGAATCCCCATGCCCTTGATGCCCTCAGCCATCGTGTTGTATGTCACTGCTGCATGGAGACACACTTCCAACCCTGAATGCTTAAGGCAGGGTGGCTCGGTGGTTAAGGGCACAGGTTATAGGCTCAGCAGTCGGGGCCTGCATCCTGCCCACCCCACTTGCCTTATCAGTGTCTCTGGCAGACTTGGTTTGTCTTACCAACCTCCTGGTTGTTTCCAAGCGGGGAATAAACATAGCACCCCAACCATGGGCTGGCTGGGAGGATTCAGTGAGTACACACAGAGTGCTCAGAGTAGCACCTGACATAGCAGGTGGCCATAACCTCTCCCATTATGAGGAGTCCTCTCTTCCTGTGACTTTTGCCATGACCCTAAAGCCCCCTGAGCACCTGCTGGCCTGGTACCCTGCCCACTCCTTTCCCAACTCTTCCTCACCCCCATCAACCAACAAGAACCACACACACATAGGAATATAGAATTTTATCTTATTTTAGTTAAAAAAAATAATCGTACCACCGAATGAAGAAGTAGCTTTTTTTTTTTTTTTTTTTGTGAGAAGGGAGGAAAAAAAATAAAAAGCAAAATGCCAAAAGAAATATTTATATTCATCTGTATAAACATATCTGCTAAGGCAAATGCAATCCAGGGCCAAGGCTGCTGCATCAGGGTTAGTACCTCCTAATTTCTGCAGATACTAAAGGCCAAAAAAATAACACCTCTGTAAGCCCAACAGGAGCTTTGCGGACTCTTGGGGCATTTTACTAAAATAAAGAGTTATCAAGTTCAAAAGCAGTGATGCTGGCATGACACATACTGAAAATTGCATAACTCCGTGGCCTCATGGGCCGCTCTTTTGTTTGGATTGGGTGATAGTCACAGTTTCACGACACAGCAATGACACACACACACACACACACATACACACATGTGAGCGAGCACACTGGGAGCTGTGGTAGAATAAGCCAGTGGTTTGAACTTGGCCGTGGCTTGCCAGCCGACAGGCACAAGGAGGGTTGGGGTTCCCATGCTTCCTCATGGTGCGCATGGTGGAGCATGTCCCGTTGCCAGTGGCAAGGTGGACAATACTCGGGGCAGGATGGTATGAAGGACTGAGTGAGGCCTCTCTGCTTCCTACTGCCCAGTGCATGCAACACACATAAAGCACTTCCTGGAGGCTTCTGGAAGAAGTGGGACAGAGTGCTGCTTGCCTTCCCTATTAAGGGGCCAATTCCTCCTCCCACCCTACTTTCTCAGGAGCCCTCTGACACCCGCAGGCTGTTCTGAGGGGTACGGTGGAGTGGTGTTTCTGCCCCCTTGAGCCTTCCCTGCCCGTGGCCCCATGGTATGACTGGCAGAGGGTGGGCCTGTGAGGTAGATTGGCACAGCTGCCCCCTCCCCCTGGCCTGCCGTGCCCTGAGATCTGGGGTTTTGATGTCAGTGTGGGGTGTCAGGGGCCTGGGTCTCTTCACCAATGTAGAACTCCGTCTCTCCCGCAACATACACACTCAGGCAAAAAGAGGCAACAGAGCTGGAGGAAAAGCCCCTTGGGTTGCGATCTACCCGGCAGCCATGACTCTCCAATGCCCCTCAGGACCTTCCTCTTCCAAGCTCTGGGAAGGGGTTCTCAGCGGGCCCCAGAGCCTGGGACTGGGAAAAAGTGACAAGGGAGAAAAAGGGGAGGAAAGGAGGGAGGGGAGGGAAGGCATATGGGCTGAGAGCAAGTCCCTTTGAGGCAGGAGCTGGTGGCAGGGAGCAGGTGGCAGGGCAGCTGGGACGTGATACAGACGCTAAAGACACAGGAACTGCCAGGGAGGACAGGGCCAGGCAGGGAGCCGAGCTGGTGTCACAGCCTAGAACAGCAGGAGGGAGCAGGCGGAGGCCGGGCCCCTCACAGGACCCCTCACTTGCTCCGTTCACAGACATTAGGTTTCTAGTAGTGGTCCCTTCAGAGAGGGTTGAGCAGCAGGCCCGGCCCCTGATGTGCCCACCCCCACTGGCCCTCGCCTGTTGTGCTGGGTACTGGGCCATGGCCGGGTGGTCAGGCCCAGCCCCTGGCTACTTGAAGGTGGACTGCAGCTCCTTGAAGGCTGCTTTCCGCTGCTTCATCTCCTCGGCCTGCTTCTTCCTCTCTTCCTGCTCTGCCTTGATCTCCTCTTCGAAACGGCTGGACACGTTGATGGCCTGGACCTGGGGTGGAGTTAGGGGAGACCCAGCAGTCAGGGTAGGAGGGGTCTCCTCGCCTCTGTCCAGCAACGCACATAGCTCTGTTCTCACTCGCCCGGCTCTGGGCCAGGTACTTTGTTAACCTCTCTGAGCTTCCATTTCTGCACCTACAACCTGGTGCTCAACAACTCTGACCTCACAGATTTGTCGGGAGGATTAAGAAACTATGCTGATGCATAGTAGCTGTTGTTATGAGCTGCCATCAAGTTGGCCCCAGAGCCATAGAGACGCTAGCATGATGGAACAAGGTACTGCTTTGTCCTGCACCAACTCCATGCTTGGTAATAGGTCAGAGCATTGCAACATACAGAGTTCCCATTGGCTGATATCCAGAAGTAGATCACCAGGCCTTTCTTCCTAGTCTGTCTTAGTCTAAAAGCTTTGCTGAAATCTGATCAGCATCCCAGCAACATGTAAGCCTCCACCATGACAGATGGGTGGTAGCTGCACGTGAGGTGCATTGCCCAGGAATGAACCAGGGTTTTAAGAGTCCTATAAATGGTAGTAACTGCTGTTATTGTTATCTTTATTCTGTTTCCTGCCCTGGGGAGCCAGTTGCACACCCATCCTACCAGTGAATCCTGAAGTGCACCATCAACACTTGGAAGCTCAGATGGAGGTGGGAGGTGGCCTTTGAAAGGAATATTCTTAGCTTAACATGGCAAGAGGGAGAAGCAAGGAAAGGCAGGTGTTCTGTGGCCCTGGCTGGGCAGGATCCCGGAGCCACTAGACTGTACTTGTCCTTTCCATCTGAGTGTGTGCTGGAAGGGGAGAGGAGGCTCTGGGCGTAATGAGTTTGTGGGATGCTGGTGTGCAGGTGGCCTCTGGGCCTGCGATGTTCCCTAGAGGCAGGAGCTGGTGGCCAGGTGTCTCAGAGAGGCCCTGAAGAGCCAGTGGTGTGTCTCTAGGCCTACTTTGCTCTCTTGGCCCTCTCTTCTTAAGGCCCAGACCTCCTCGGTGGTAGCTCTGTGTGCCCAGGGCGGGACAGGTCAAGGTTGTGCCTGTGACCTCTTCAAGATAATATACCCCTCACTCACTGTCCTGAGCAGGGAGAGAAAGGGAAGGCTGGAAAGGACTGGAACGGGAGGGGACAGAGGCCAGGAGCCACATGGGCTTGTCAAGGCACCAGCTCCCCACCTGCTGTCTGCAACTAACCCTGGAGTGAGTTGGTGAGCCCAGAGCCCCATTGTACCCTGGCCACATGCATATCCCAGACTCTGTACAGCCTCCCCCTCCTCACCTTGGCTTCGAAGAAGCTCTTGGCCCCCTTGACGCCCTCGGTGGAGACATCGATTTCAGAGAGGCGGGCCAGCACGTGAAGCCCACTGTCTTCCTGCAGCTCCCCTGCTGCTGCCTTGTGGAAGATCAGGAGGAACTAGGCAGAGAGATGCACATGGGGTCAGGAAGAGGGGAAAAGACCGAAGTCCATGCCACACCCAGGCCCAGCCTCAGACCTTCCTGTACTTGCAGGACAGGGAGCCTGGATTGCCCCTCCATGCTCCACATCCCTGCACAGGCCCCTGGGCCCCTGGGCCCCTCCCTCTCTGAGCCTCTGTGTGCCCATCTGTCCATGGGAAGTTAGACAGCACATCTTCTGCCCTCCTGGGATCCTGAGTTTCTGTGGTGGGTGGGCTCTGAAGCCAGATTGGCTCCATCTACTTCCGACTTCCATTGGGAATCCTAATGACATTGCTTCAACCTACCCCTTATCTTTGTCTCCCATTGTTCCCCAAATTAGTCCTCTCCAAGAACCCCATTTATGGAGTATGAAAGGTGCTATTACTGTGTCCACTGTGCAGACGAGGAAGGCTCCTCAATAGGAACAATCCTGAGCAAAGTCTTGGCACCAGAAAATGACAGAAGGATTTGAACTTGTGTCCTTCTGACTTCCTCATTATTCTGTATGGCCCACAGCCTCCTTCCCTGTGTCTTGTCCTCCCCAGGGACCCCTGCCACCTTTTTCTTTCTCTGTAGTGCCTAAGTCATTTGACTGCTAACCAGAAGGCTGGTGGTTCAAACCCACCAGCTACTCCTCGGAAGGTTGGGCAATCTACTTCCATAGTGATACTGCCTCGGAAACCCAAGGAGGGGTCGCTATGAGTCAGGTCTGACTCCATGGCAGTGAGTTTGGTTTGGGTTTGGTTTCTATGCTTCCTGCTTCTTTGGCAAGGCCCAGCTCAGCCTCAACTCTTCTAAAGCCTCCCCGTCATTCAACCTTATATTGCCTGAGGTCTGGTACTGTTGCTATCTGCCTTTGAGCCTCCATTTCTTCCTCCATAAAACAGGCTTGCTCAGAGTTTCTGTCTCAGAGTGAGTAGTAAACGAGGCAGGTGTGTGCAGTCACCCAGCACAGTGTCAGACTCAACTCAGACCCACAGTACCACCCCTTTGTCTTTGTCACCCACCTCTTCTCCTGAATCAGAGCGTTGGGTTATTTCATCCTTTGAATATCTCCTCCTTGATACCCCACAACTTTTAGAGCATAGGGCCTTTCTCTGTACCCCCAGTGCCCGCACAGGGTTGGGTATATAGTAGTCACTCAATAAATGCTCACTAAATGAAGAAACAGATATCCTTGTTTCTTGCTTAAGGCATCTCAAGGTCCCTACCCCCTTTTGGTTTCTGCTCTAGGATATCTGGGCTGTGATAAAGGGACTGGCTTAGCCTCTCTGGGCCACCAACCCCTCAGGGCTTACCTCCCGGAAGCTGAGCTTGCCGTCAAAGTCCTCATCCACTTCCTTGATCATGTTTTTCAGGCCCAGGTGGGTCTGGGGGGCCCCAAGTTTCTCCATCATGAGCTTCAGCTCCATCAGGTCGATGAAACCATCCTTGCCGGCATCATACCTATGGGTGCAAAGAGAAGGAGACTGAGGACACCTCACACCTTGTTGTGGATTAAATTGTGTCCCCTCAAAATACGTGTTGGAATCTCAATCCTTATACTTGTGGATCCTAAGTCTAATCACTTCTGAGTTATAAAAATTAGATGCAGACACAGACACACAGGCACACACACACAAAGACACACACACACACACCTGTGGGAAGACAGATGCCATATGAGGATCATCTCCAAGTCAAGAAACTCCAAGGAACCAAGGAATGCCCAGGGCTACTGATAAGGAAGGAATCTACACAGATAAGACTCTGATTGGTACTTTCAGTCTCCAGAACTGAGAAAATACATTTTTGTTTTTTAAAGCTGCCCACTTGTGTAGCAACAGCACCAGGTAACACCTGGCCAGTCAGAGTGGTCACAGCTGGAATGCAAAGAACGAGGGGATGTCAGAGAGCACCCACCAGCACAGTCCCTGTATATGGCCCAGCTCCTGCCTGGTTACCTGATGATGGGGAACTCATCAACTGGCCTGCTAGTCTCATGCATGTTGAACAGTGCTAACTTTTAGACAAGCCTGCTGTACAAGGTAGCTGAAATCACAGCCCCTCTGTACTGAGTGTGACAAGAACAAGCAGAGAGAAAAGAATTCACAATATAATGCAGGTGTAGACTGGACAAGTGGGGGATCTGATGTCAGCACTCACTGACCATCCCCAGGACCAGCTGGCCTGCCAGAATCTCCATGACAACCCAAGGGGCATCTTGTCCCCACCCAGGTGACAAGGTCTTGTGGGCTAGGGCAGGATTTCTCAACCTCAGCACTGGTGACATTTGGGGCTGGATAATTCTTCATTGTGGGAGCTCTGGTAGCATAGTGCCTAAGGAATCTGACTGCTAACCAGAAGGTTGGTGGTTCAAACCCACCAGCCACTCTTCAGAAGGAAGACTGGGCAATCTACTTCCATAGAGATACCATCTTGGGAACCCAAGGAGGGGTCGCTATGAGTCAGACCTCAGTTGGCAGTGAGTGTGGGGCTATCTTGTGCACTGTAAGATGGTTAGCAGTGTCCCTGGGCTCAACCCACTAGATGCCTTCCCCAGTCCTAATCATTAAAAACGTCTGCAGATATTGCCAAATGTCTCCTGGGGTCCCCCCTTGAGAACCACTAACAGGATGCGACATGGACGTGAAAGGCAGCCTCCTTCCATAGAACAAGCAGCTCTTGTCACTCAGCACTGTTGGTACTAGGGGTCTACTCTGTGCTAGGTGCTGGGGGAGTGGAGGGGCGGGAGACAAAGCACACAGTAGGGTGCTCAGCAAGTGGTGAACGAATGAATCATGAATGAAATCTAACAGGGTCTCTGCCTTTGACAAGTGAACAGTGAGGCAAAAGATGCCACATGGCATAGGGCCGGGCCAAAGGTGACAGGAGGGAGAGCCACTTACAACTTTCCAGGAGGAGGGACAGCAAGAGCAAAGGCGTGGTGGCAGGAAAGCTGTGTCCGGGAACATGTTGTACAGGGTGCCTGTGGGGCGTGGAGGGAGATACCACCTGCTGGGTGCTTGGATCGGCCTTGAACGGTGATTAGGTGTAACAATGCCACTGGCCTACACCCTTCACTTCTCCTTTCTTTTGCTACCACCAACTGCTGGGCAGAGATAGGGATGGGATGTGGAGGGTAGGGGTGGGGACTGTGGGGACGGGAGTGTCAGTCAGCTTCTCACTGTCCTAGACGGGCTTCCCTGGATCACCGGGCAGGGGAGGTACTCAGTGGTGCCCAGAACATACAGCCTGGCAGACCCAGGCATTATTTTGCACAGCCTGGCCGGCCCTGCTTATCAGGCCAACCAAACACTGCCCTGCCTCTGTCTCCTGGTACAACTGGAGAGGGTGGTCTCAGGGTTGGTGAAATGGGACTTTCTAGGCCCAAAGAAACCTGTATAGTCTCCATGCTCTCACACTAGCAGGGTGACAGTGTTGGTGTCACCTTGAGGGGTTGAGTTCCAGAAACATGAGTTCCAGAAACATAGGTCCTGAGGGCTTGGAGGTCCTTTGTGAACATATATCTCATTCTTGTACCCTCTTCAGGGCCAGCTGGTCCTCTCCCCTTTCTCTAGTTATACACAAGCTTTGCATGACTGTGGACCCCAAGTACAGACCATTGACTGAAAGGGAAAAAAATCAAACTAGTGGCCATTCAGTCAATTCTGACTCATGGCAACCCCCGGTGTTTCAGAGTAGAACTGCACATAGGATTTTCAATGGCTGTAATCTTTTGGGAAACAGATCACCAGGCCTTTTCTCTGAAGCATCTCTAGGTAGCTTTGAACTGCCAACCTTTTGGTGAGTAGCTGAGTATTCAACCGTGTGCTCCACTCAGGGACTCTGATTACTAAAATGTCTTTAGGAACTTTATATACTTATTGATGTAATCCTCATAATGGGCTTATTTTACAGTGATATCTCAGAGAGGTTGAGTGACTTGTCCAAGGACACACACCAATGGGTGGTCTTCCACCCCAGGTCTGTTGGGCTCATGAGCCACACATTTGCTTTGTGCCCAGTCTCCCTGTTGCCCCCACCTAACTCCTTACATGTGTCCCGGGGCTGCCAGAAGAACACAGCCGTCTGCCTGGAGCCTGAGGTAGCATTTGTGCGAGGGGTATAAATAGTTCACCAGCAAGTGAGTCAGTGGTTGGAAGTGACACAGCACAGAAAAGATAGGTCTCTGGTGATGCCTGTGGCTTTCTTCCCCATTGTGGGGTGACAAGGTAGGCCCTGTGGGGACAGATGGGCAGTGGCTCTGGCTGGGGGAGTGGGTGTGAGAGGATGTGGGCTATGATACTCAGGAGGCTGACGTGCCCATGGTCCAGCCTCTACCATGAGTAGCAGGGCCTTGTGCAGGGCACAGCGGTGAGCCCTCTTTCCATCTTGGTGAAGGGGCTGGGCAGCTGCTCTGTGACCTGTAGCAACAGGTTCTTGGAACAGAAAAGGAGCCTGGTGAGGGAGCTGGTCTTTCCTGAGGCAAACCACATGACCCCCCACCTCAGCAAAACAAAGCCCTACCACCATTTCAATTTGGGCTTCACTTTGGGTCAGAGATGAAAGGCATGGGTTCTGCCAGATCCAATACAGACTCCGCTGCATAAACCTCTGTCTCCACCTCTTTAAAATGCAGCAGCTTTCTAGTTGGGAGAGTTTACCCTCCCAGGGGACATTTGGCAATGTCTGGACACATTTCTGGTGGTCACGACTGGGGGCGGGGTGTGCTACTGGTACCTAGTGGGTAAAGGGCACTAAACACCCTACAGTGCACCGAACAGCCCCACATCAAAGCATCATCTAGCTCCAAATGTCAACAGTGCTGAGGCTGAGAAGCCCTGGTGCAATGACGTCCACTCACAGAGTCACTGTGAAGATGGCATGAGCCCGTAGCATGAGCCTGGCACACAGGCTAACTCAACAAACAGCAGTTACCACCATTATGCTGTTGTTATTGGAGCTGCTGTTGTGATCTCATGCACAGCTGCCCAGTCCTGAGCCATCTTCATGATCAGCTGCGGATTGGACCATTGCAATCCATAGCTTCCACTGGCTGGTTTTTAGAGCAGATTGCCAGGCTTTTCCTCCCACTCCTAGTCTGCAAGTTCTGCTTGAAACCTATTCAGCATCACAGTAATATGCAAACCTCTACTGATAAACAGGTGGTGGCTATGATTGAGGTACACTGGCTGGGAAGTGAACTTGGGTCCCCACAAATGAAGGTTAAGAATCCTACAAAAGACCCCACTGCTCCCATCACCATTATAATGAGATTTAATTACATTTATTAAGCTCCTACTATGTGTCAAGAAGTTCTTTTTACAGCCCTTGCACTTACAGATGCTGGGCGGTCAGTATTATCTCCCCATGTGACTGATCAGGGACATGGGCTGCAGAGGCGCGGGCACTTCCCTAATCCCTCCTCCCTAGATGCCCATGCGTTCCTCTCTCTGCTATCCCACTTGCCTCTTCCTGAATCCCCAATTTATTTAATGCTCAAGCCAACAGGATTCTCCCGCAGCCAGGGGTGGCTCAGTTTCAGAGGAAGTGCAGATTAAGTGTCCACACTTGGACAGAAACCTGGGCTATAGATCCCTTGGTCTTTGCCAGCTCCCAGACCTGGCTGAGCCACAGCTCAAACCACAGCTTGAACGGCAGCCTGCATCAATCAAGGGTCAATCAATTACTGGGGGCTGGGCTCCACCTCAAGCAGGCTCGGCCCCCAAGGGGACAACGCAGGGGTTGGTGGCAGTGCCAGCCAATCAATCACCTAAAGGGAGGTGATGGAAGGCAGAGAGGAAGTGGGAGCCTCCCAGAAGAGGTGACACTGGGAAGGACTGCTCCCAGGAACAGACACTGGCCATATGCCTAGGACTCTGATGTAGTCTCTGGATCACCGGCCTGAGGCTGGGGGTCTGCCATATTTGGGGGTTAACTTGACGCAAGATGGCCTTGAAGATTTGTGGTCATATCAACTTTGCTGAGACTGATCTGTGTCCAAACCCCAGCTCTGCCACCTCTGGGTGACCCTGGCCAAGTCATTTGACCCCTTGAATCTCACTTTGTCCGTCCATGTCCTAGAGATCAAAGGACCAATCTCATAGGACAGCAGCAAGGACTGAAAGAGACGACCCAAGTAGTCTTAAAACAGACCCTGGCCCAAAAGAAGCACTTAATACCCCTTGCTATTACAATACCAAGGAGCCTTGGGGCAGCCAACTAAAAGGTTGATCTGCTCCTGTAAAGATTACAGCCTAGAAAATCCTATGGGGGCACTTCTCCTCTGTCATAAGGGGCTGCCACAAATTGAAATTGACTTGATGGCACCTAACAACAATACTATAATACTACTATTAAGATGCATTATTATTGTTCATATCTACTTTAAGGATTGTTAAGGATTAAATGAGATTACAAATATAAAATACCTAACACACAGTTGTGTTGCTAGTTGCCATCGT